AGCCTTACAGTGATGCTCTAAGTTCTTTGTATTCAAATGGATGGTGCGTATATATAGTGGTTACCTTTCGTCCTCCTTTTGGACTTTTGTCGATGGTTGGAGGTTTTTGTTGCATCGGGCGAGTTTGGCACCGGATCCTCCAGTAGCTCTTGGTTTGATTTCCTTTTGTGTCTGGTATATTTGGAAAGCTAGGAATCATCTGGTCTTTGAGGGAGTTTTTTAGCGGCCTCAGAAGGTTGTGGAACGTGCTTTTGCTAGCTTTTGGAAATTTCAGGAGGCGCAGTCCCAATTCCACAAATTATCTGTTGTTGGTCCATCTTTTTCTTATGCTTCTTGGTTTCCACCTGATTGGGGAGTGATTAAATGCAATTTTGATGCTTGTTTCTCTTTGAAGCTGCTTCGTGGGAGTAGGGGTACAATGCAGTGTTTCATGATTATCAAGGCTCTATCCTCAAAGCTATGGTGTTTCGCCCGTTTTTTGCTTCGTCTGCGATGATAGCTGAGGCGATTGTTTGTCTTTGTGCTTTGTTTTGGGCTTCTTTCTTTGGGTTCCATTGTTTACGTTTCGAATTGGATGCTAAGGTTGTTGTTGTAGCTGTGGAAGATGTTTCTGTTAGACCCACTGAGATTGCTTCTATTTGTTGTGATGTTCAAATGGCGCTTCGGTCCTTCTCTGTGGCGTCTTTGACTTTTGTTCGCCGTACTGCTAATCGTGTGGCTTATGCTTTGGTTGTGTTGTCGAGGTCTGATGTGGCGATGGATCGTGTTTTAGATCCTTGTCCGTCTTAGATTGTTGATTTGGCGCGGCTGGATATGTTAGGTGCTCCGTTTAATGTCCTTAGTTGTGTTTCTTAGTTGTGTCTTTTGTTTCTGTTATTTACCTTTGTCATCAACAAAAATAAAAATTAAAAAAAATACAGTGGTTACCTTTTTGTTTGGATCGGTTTTGTGTTTGGACTCTTTTGTTTTGGTTGTTGATTCATGGGCTTGGTTATCTTAAATATTGTTTTACCACAACAACAACATATTACATCAAGGCTATGTTTGTTTCGACATAAAATATTCTTTTTGAAAAATATATATATATTTTTAGGTAAAATATTTTTTTATTTTTATTTTGACGGTGTTTGGCAAATGTCTACGTCGAGGTTAAGGTCAAGTCTATCCATCGGGAAATGTAAAATAACTTGCCGAAAATTAATGGATAAGTTATTTTTGTTAAATTTTAATATTTTTTTTTTGTAAATATTTTACGACAACCAAACAGCAAAAAAATAAAAAAATATTTTTTGAAAAATATTTTACGTCCAAACAAACAGAACCTAAGATACAAAAATACAACACTATTAAACTAAAAATACAACACATTTTTATTTGTTGCAACCTAAATTTATTAGTATTGTATGGTGTAATTTAATTTAATTGAACCAGCATAGAAGTTGGAATGGTCCAGTTCATCTGCCACGCTATGGTCAGAACATGGAGACCATGAATTTTTTTACGTAGTCATTAATATTGCAAGTTCTGAAAATAATAAAGATTCATAAAAACTATAATAATTAAAATATATAATGTCTACCTACTAGAAAGAAGAAAAAGAGAAGGCAACGATCCCATTAGTTTAGATAGGCATGAATTTCTTGATAGAAGCCCTCCTTTGTATAGAATGCTGTAAATTATTGTTCTCAATTACTGTTAAAATACATATATGATTATATAATTCTCAATTAGATCAATAGACTGATCTAAGTTATGTATTTATTAGTTTTTTTGGGGCTGAGTGGAACTTTTTGACTGTTGTCTTTGCTTTCTGTTTAATTTGGAAATAACAATATTTTCACGAACAAGAACATCGAGCAACTCATATTTGGGCTCTATTTGTTTGAGCGTAAAATATTTTTCAAAAAATATATATATTTTTTATTTTCTGGTGTTTGGTTGTCGTAAAATATTTAAGAAAAAAAAAATATTAAAATTTAACAAAAATAACTTATTCATCAATTTTCAACAAAGTAAAAATAAAAAAATATTTTACTTGAAAAAGAAAAAAATATTTTTACGTCGAAACAAAGTTGAAAAAAAAAAAAAAAAATTAACGTTAACTAATTCAACTCTAAGAATCTTCCATTCTGAGAAATAGTTTGTGAACAAATTAACTTGTTTGCGTTGACCCAACAATCTGCAGTATGCTGAGAAATACAATACAGTATAACTAAGAATGTTTCAAATAGTGGTGCCTCCAGATTAATTCAACACAAATACAACTTCAAGTACGAAGTGTGCAAAACTTTTGCAAGCACAACAATATAAAGCCCATCTCCAAATTTCACTAATGATTTTGGTCAAACCATCATTCTCAATTCAATTATGTACAAAAAAATAGAATCTCTCAACAAGTTGGATAAGAAGAGAGCAAATGAGGAAGAATGCAGGAAGAGTTCTTCCAAACCCTAATGTAGCCCTAATTCTATAGTAATATAGTGGGGCGGATTATTCTTATTCTGAACTTTGTAATTTTGTTTAGCTTTTAATTATATTAATATCTCCATAACTACTCAGACCTAACTTAAAATTTAGGTAAATCATTGTTGGAAGATTAAACCAAATGTTTGAAATATCAAAGGTTGAATTCATGAACCAACTCAAGTATGAAATATATGAACCAACTCATGTGTGGAATACATGTATTATCCCATTGGGAGATGAAACATTTGTGTTAAACTTAGCGTTTTATTTATTATTTTGTAATTTGTCTTTCTAGAGTCATGTATTGATGCTTATAAATACATGTTCTTAAGTTCTTTTGTAAGCAAGAAGTGAGAAAGAAAATATATCAAAATTGAGAGTTTTATATAAAAGTTGTATGTGTTCTCCTTCTTCATATTGAGTGCCCTCCTACAATCATGTAAATCTACGTATTCTTGTTCTTTTTCAGTTAATTTTCATAACAGAGCTCAATGCAATGATAATATTGCTCCATTGCAACTAAAAAAAACTTACTAGTGCAAGGGCTGGTTTGAAGGTTGAGTTTGAACCTACGGTTACTGTGTGATAAGTGCTAAATATTGAAAATTATAGCCCTTAAATGTATATATGTTAATGCCTTAGTGATACTTTTATCTCGGTTCTTATGTATATTTTTATTCATTTGTTATTTGTAAGTTTTAACCCAAAAGTTGCTGTACTCAAATTTTTTCAAGACAAATGTGGGTTCTACACTAACCCAAACACATGGCAAGATTTTCTCATATGGGCATCCTCAAATTGGAAGCAAAAAATGAAATCAAGGATGGCACTGGTATGGAAACTTACCTTGGTTATGTATATCACATTTGGAGGGAAAGGAACAACATAATTTTCCACAAATTATCCCCTCGGATGACGACAATGAATGCCATTATTGATAGTGTGAGACTGAGATTATTCTCCGTCAAGAGTTATAAATGCCAATATGCCGAAATTGTTGCAGATGACTAGAAAATCTTCCAAGTTCTGTCTATGAACCCCAACCCAGCAATCCTTTCTTCTCCTTTATCTAACCCTTACAGTAATGCTCTCACGCTTGTTGCTTTGCTGATGGTGCACATGTACAGTGGTTACCTTTTTGTTTGGGCCGGTCTTGTGTTTGGACTCTTTTGTTTTGGTTGTTGAGTCATGGGCTTGGTTATCTTGAGATTGTTTTCTTGCTGTGCTGGTATGTGCCTTTATACTGTACACTTTTTCCTCCTCTTATCTTACTTTCCGAAAACATTACATTAAGATGCAAAAATACAACACTATTAAATTAAAAATGTAACACATTTTTATTTGTTGTACCATAAACTGTGTTGCATGGTGTAACATTCTAGATTTATTTGTATACACACAAAATATACGCGTACCAGCCTATCCCATTTCTTGGTAGGCGTGGTCCGTGTAATTTAATTTAATTGAACCAGCATAGAAGTTGGAATGGTCCAGTTCATCTGCCACGCTATGGTCAGAACATGGAGACCATGAATTTTTTTACGTAGTCATTAATATTGCAAGTTCTGGAAATAATAAATATTCATAAAAACTATAATAATTTAAATATATAATGTCTACCTACCAGAAAGAAGAAAAGAGAAGGCATCAATCCAATTAGTTTAGATAGGTATGAATTTCTTGATAGAAGCCCTCCTTTGTATAGAATGCTGTAAATTATTGTTCTCAATTACTGTTAAAATGCACGATCCTTTCGTGAATATATTTATGATTAATTCTCAATTAGATCAATAGACTGATCTACGTTATGTATTTTTCATTTTTTTTTTTTTTTTTTTTTTTTGTGGCTAATTGGAACTTTTTGACGGTTGCCTTTGTTTTCTGTTTAAGAACATCGAGCAGCTCAGATTTGGGCTCCGTTTGGACGTAAAATATTTTTCAAAAAATATTTTTTTATTTTTTGATGTTTGGTTGTCGTAAAATATTTGCGAAGAAAAAATATATTAAAATTTAACAAAAATAATTTATCCATCAATTTTCGACAAGTTATTTTACATGCCCTACCCGATGGACTTGATCTCTACCTCGACGTAGATTTTTGCCATACACCAAAAAAGTAAAAATAAAATAATATTTTACTTGAAAAAAAATTATTTTACGTCGAACAAACAGAGCTTGAAAAAAATAAAAAATTAGCATTGACTAATTCAACTCTAACAAACTTCCATTCTGAGAAATAGTTTGTGAACAAATTAACTTGTTTGCGTTGACCCAACAAATTAACTAATTCAACTTTAACTTTCAAAAAAAAAAAAAAAAACAATCTGCAGTATGCTGAGAAATACAAAAATAGTAAGTAGGAATGTTTCAGATAGTGGCGCCTCCAGATTAATTCAACACAAATACAACTTCAAGAATGAAGTGTGCAAAACTTTTGAAAGCACACAATATAAAACCTATCTACAAATTTAACTAATGATTTTGGTCGAACCATTATTGTCAATTCAATTATGTACACAAAAATAGAAAATCTCTCAACAAGTTGGATAAGAAGAGAGCAAAGGAGGAGGAATGCAGGAAGAGTTCTTCCAAACCCTAGAGTGCAATTTGAGGATCTCTTTGGCTCTATCCTTGGCCTTAAGACTGTTGTCCACTTGAAGCACCAAACATAACTTTGAAACAACACCCACTTGCAACATTTCCTCAAGAACCCTATCAGTTGCTGAAAACCTAGATATTGAGGATAGTATTGTCATTGCCCTATTAGTGCCTGTATGAGAAACCCTAAGTATTTTCTTCGACACCACAGCCAATCCGGCTCCATGCTTTAGCAACTCCGCTCACCCTTCTACACAACTGCATAGCTGATTTAACACAATCAGAACAAGCTCACAAGCTCTCAATTCTGATGTGTCAAGAAGAAGCTCTATTAGGACCGAAACTGCACCGGCTTCGACTAATTTGATTCGGTTTTTTCCCCAAGGACAAAGCTCCACCAGAAGCTTCAATGCAGCCTTCGAGGCTTGATTCAAGATCTTTTGATCTTGCAAAATATGGACTACCCCGATGAAGAAATCGGTCTTAATGGTGATCAAATGTGTAAACTATAATTTATTCGTGCAAACTATTCATCACAAATAAACATAAATCCCAAATCTTAGAACTTCATTATTCTTACATACCTGTAATGCATAAATAAATATAGTTAGATATAAATACCTCAATCTGTGATTGCAAATATCGTAGAGAACAAGTCCAATGTTGAGATCCTTTCTGCGGAATGAATAACATACTAAACTGTAAGAGCCAAAGCGTGGAAATCGATTTCTCTCTCTTGGCCTTTTGCACACATAAAACTTTTACGTATTGTATCATTAATTGTACATAATTGATGGAGTATATGCACTTTTATAAAGGCAGAGAGAGGACCAGTTTTCCTTTTAGTAACCTAATTCCACTTTCCATCAAAGTAAGGAACAAGAAAGGAAAACACTTCTCCAATAAGTAATTACCAAAAAGGTAATTTATAAGTTGACCAAATAATATAATATTAATCCGATATTTATTTTATTTAACCACCAAATAATATGTCACATGTCCAAATCATGTGGGCTACAATTAAATAAATAATCTTACATTCTCCCACTTGGCACATATGATAACTTCTGTAGTGGTTTAGTAAAATAGTTATTAGTGTGCACCATAAATTAGATTGACTCATTAAGTTGGTCATCATAAATACCATGGTAAATAAACTACCAATGCGAGTCATGCCGATTATATGTCTCTAAATGACACAGTCCCTTCCATGTACTACAACACTAGTAACCTATTCAACATAGTCTATAAATGAGAAGTATCAATAATGATCTAACAATAATGTCTTTTCCAAAGACTATTCCTATTACCATTTATTAAAGTAATACGTACGTGTACATTAATTAATAAGAAATATCATAAACACATTTAATGAGCGCAAAATGTCAAATATATATAAGCACTGTTAAGCAATCCACAATTAAAAAATAATCAACATTGACTACATTCAAGACCTATTCCTTCAACATGTTCCATAAATGTCTTGGGTGGTAGTCATCTTCTTATATGTTGCGTACTTATATGTTCAATAGACATTTGTTGTTTCTAAACATTTTCTTTAATGATAAAGTATTTCAACTTTAGAATACCTATCATTTTTCATATAAGAAGATCAACAATTACAACATAAATTTTTTAGCAATCTGAAAATGGTACTCATAACTCCAAGTCCTGAAATAAATTCTACAACCATAAATTGTATTCTTAAAGCATACTACAAAGTAAAATTTCATAATAAACAAAGTAATAATAAATTACTTTACATTTTTTCCATAATATTATTCCTCCAGCCAAAAGAAACAAATAACCAATTAAAAAATGTTTTTCTAAGTGTAAGCATATAATCTTTTATACCATACCAACTTGTATATACATCAAACTCCACAATATATACATAAGGAATATTTTTCATTTCTTTACCTTCTAACTAACTCATTATTTGAAATTGCATTAGGCTAAATTTATCTCCTTTTATGTATGGAACAATACTGGTTAAATAATGTTACATACAAAATTTTTCTAGAACTCTTTCAATATATGTTTTATAAGACAATCCTAAATATCAACGTAATTTATCATAAAATAGTTCTATTCATATCACGTAGGATGTCTCATCCATATCTTTCATTTTAAAGTTCTTAGAAATAATTTTTAGTTTCATATAATAAACTAAGATCACTACTAGCAAACAAAATATCATCAATATATAGAATCAGAAATATAAACTTACTCCCAGTAACCTTCTAGTATATACACTGATCAACAGTGTTTTTCTTAAAATAAAAAGAAATAATGGTATCATTAAACTTAAAATACCATTGTCAGGAAGCTTGTTTAAGTTCATATATCTATATCTTAAGTTTATGGACCATATATTATTTACCTTCTAATGTGAAGCTTTAAGGTTGTTCCATATAGACTTCCTCTTTCTAAACTCTCATTCATAAAAATTGTATTCGCATCCATTTGATGTAATTCTAAATCATAATAAGTTACTAATGCCATAATATTTTAAAAGAATCCTTCTTATATAATGGAGAGAAGGTTTCTCAATAATCTCTTCATTCATGACGCTAATCCATTTAGTAAAATCATTATTGTTAATAGCTTGTGAATATGTAACCGGATCCGTATATATCTTACTATATATCAAAATCAGATTCTTGCAGATATATCACATAGTCATCCGGAATAGTAGATCTTCTTTCTCTTTGAGATCGTCTTAATGTTATTCCTTTTGATTTTTCTACAATTTATTCATTGGTAACAATCTCATTATGGAGTTGTTGATCATTCAATTGTTTTTCGTTGTTATACGGTTCAATAACTGAATGAACAATTATTTTCTTAGAAATTATGAAAAAATAAATTTATACCATAACTTCTTGAATGATCACATTCTTATTTTTATCACTCCCACTGACTCCACTATTCTCAATGAATCTGGCATTACTGGTTTCAATAATTATCGTACTATGTTTAGGATAGTAAAACTTGTACCCTTTAGATTACTTAAAATCCACAACATTATAGGTAATGAGGAATTACTTAACATACTCCTAACCATATCCGATTACGCCTTTTAGCTACACATTTTTGCTGTGGCATGTATTACAAAGTGTATTGAGCACAAATGTCATACATTTTAAGGAGTTTAGCAAATGGTTAGAGTATTAACTCGTTTCATCATACTTTCCATAATATTCTCCACCTCTATATAACCTTATGATTTTAACTTTTCTATCTAATTGTTTTTCAACCTCATTTATATATACTTCAAGACTACCCACTGCTTGAGATTTTTCATGCAACAAATAGATATATCCATAACGTGAAAAATTAACTATAAAGGTAATAAAATACTTTTCTTTACCAAAACATGGAACATCAGAAGGTTTACAAATGTCTGTATGAATAATTTCAAGAAACCCTATACTTATTGTGGCTCATTTCTTTATGTGTTTAGTTTGTTTATCCTTAATACAATCTACACACACCAAAATCAGTAAAGTTTAAATTCAGAAGAATCACATCCTTTACTAATTTTCCTAACATTTCACTAGATATTGACATAGTCTTTTATGCCACAAGAAAGATAAATTTTCGATTAATTGAGTTATGCTTAATTCTAACATTATGATGCAAGATCAAAAGGTTTTTTAAATAAATAATCAAGTTTGAATTTACAGAAATCATCAACAATAATACCATAAGTCACAAATTAGAATTTCTTGAATAAACATCATTATAAAATTTAAATGAAAAATCATTAACAAAAAGTTTTGAAATAAAATCAAATTATAGGAAATTGAATAAACATAAAAAGTTTAAAATAATTTAATTAAAATTCACTGTCTAACATTAAACATAATGTCACAATGGTTTCAAAAAAACATTTTCCCAATTATCATAAATAAGAAATTCTTATTTAAATTTGTGGTTCAGGCCATAAGAAATTCTTGCATCTATTAGAAACATAAACATGAGTACTTAAGTCAACCTATGATGTATTAAAAAGAATTTCAATAAGTAATTCGAAATATACAAAAACCAAAAACTTACCATTCTTTTTCGAATCATTCTTTATATTTCATATTATCTTTCTAAAAGTGTTCAATACATTAATGACACTTTTTTATTATTACATTCCTTTCTTTTAGTAGATTGACCTAAATCTTTTAATTTTGGGTGTTACTCACTTAATGCCTTTTCAGGCTTATTCCAAAATTCCTTTCTAACTTCTTGAGTCATCAGATGAACATGACGATTACCATGCTGCTTAAAGCTAGTCTACTCCTAAATTAACATAATGGTCAATTATTTCACTTTTCACTTATCTTAATAGTATTAATTCGAGATGACCCATACCGAGTAAACAAAAAAATTAAGAATAAATTGAATGAGAAAATCCTTATCCACAATCATCCCTAAGGTACTCAATTTGTAGCAACATTAGTCATCTTAAGAACATACACATACATGATAAGAGTACCTACAAAATTGCATAGTAGTGATATAAATTAATAATTTTCGTTTTAGATATTTATCTACAATACGAAAACATTCTTATAGTCAAATATTCCTTAACACTATCACTATAGGGAATAATAATTCGCATAACCATAATACTTAACTTACTCATTCCATTATGAGAAGTTAGTCCTATTGAGAATTCAAACAGATATAGAATGAGAATTAAAGGATGTAACAAAGAAACATAATAAGATAAAATGCTCACAACAATAATGCTTTGAGTTAACAACACGTATATATAATTTAAAAATATAAATACAATGTATAACTATAGTACCCCTTTAGGTGGTAACTATAAAATACTAATAATGATGCTTAAATGTATTTATATGATCTTTATTGGCGATGCATTATTTAATTAAACAAATAAGTTACCTTTGAATATCCTATATATACCTAATTAAGAAAATACATCCAACCCTTAATTTTTATTTAATCACTTGAAAATCAATTCCCTTTGGAGAATTATTTCTCATGGTCAAATAAACCCAATATTCATGAATATCATAAGAAACCATAAGCATCAATAATTCATTAAATATTACAATTATGTCTACTATTAAAATTAATATTCATCAATTATTATGGTTAGGCCACTTTGGTAGCTACTAACCTTTACATAATATGAATATTAAATTAGATAGTAGCTAATTTATGATTAATTATATCTACTACAAAAATTAATATTCATCAATCATTATGATTGGGCCACTTTGGTAGCTACCAATCTTCACATAATATCAATATTAAATTAGACAGTGATTAATTCATCATTAAGTTATATTTACTACTAGAATTAATATTCATCAATCATCATGGCTAGGCCACTTTGGTAGCTACCAACCCTCACATAATATGAATATTAAATTATTTAGTAACTAATTAATCATTAATTTATCCATTTAATGTTATATACACATACTCATACTGATTGATTCAACTTTAGGTAAGTTCAATCTCAAAAACTTAATAGTCCGAAAATACAATAAAAATATTCTTTTATTTTATATACATAATAAAACATATTATTTTTATTTTTGGACTCGGATGCCATAATTGAATCAATTTAAAAATTGATTCTCCATCATGCATGTATGTATAGGTACAAAATAATTATTTATTGTGTCTAACAAAAAAATTAATTAATTTTCTAGACTCACATATTATTCTAGAAATTCTAATTTGTTTAATAAAATAAATAAATACATAATTCAAAAGTAATTTTAAACTTTTGAACCATTCAATCAAATAAATATGAATAACTTTAATTTTCAATTGTCCAATATGATCATGTTTTAAAAAAATTCTCATAAAAGTGTTACCCAGAATCTTTCTAATAATGAGACAAAACAATAACACACCAAACTATTCAATCACATGCCTAGGCATGTAAATTAAGAAAAACACATGTATGTTTATATCTCTTTGCAAAGTGCAACACAAATTCATCTAAATATGAAATCAGTAGCAAAATTCATATGTTAATGCCCAAAGATTCATGTTCAGGTCATACAAAACATGCACGAAAATCAAAATAGAAAGCTTCACATAAATTGTTCATCTGTTGAATTATTATATATGTTTAACTTTTAGGCAATTTCAGAAATTAAAATATATCCACAAAATTAATCAAAACCATAC